GGAAATGTCATGCCCCTTACCATAGCCGCCTGCGAGCTTCAGTGTAAATATTGCGTCAAAATCAAATCAAGTTGAGCGCGATTTAAACCCGGATGATTGTAACCACTCTACGTTTGTCTGCCTTGGGAAAGCTAGTGTGTCTCTGACATAGTGATAACAGTCATTGCCTTCTCTAGTGCAGCTCAACCAGGTCTCGTCCCATTCGTCTGTATTTGTGATATCACAAATCCCGGAAAATATGCGTTGTAGTCCAAACGAGTCGTTCATTGTAGTTTTTGAAAAGTGATTTCTGTTAAATAAAATATCTCCTTTTAAAGTGGACTTTGAACTTTGTAACTTTGCAGATCTTTTTTATGCTCAAACAGCAACATTGCAGACTAACTAAAGTTGAAAAAGTGAAAAAGCATAATAGGACCCCTTTAAAACATATGCTCTTATCATTCTGTGGACAAAATCCCATGAACTTTGCCCCAATCGGGAGCTGTTTATGCACATTGTGTGCTCATCTGTCTTCAATGCAGCTAACCTCGCTTCATCTTCCCATTCATCAAACTATGACAGGTCCTTTACTGCAAAAAGACGATCATTGCGACACTGTAAAGTGATGAAACTATGGCGCCATGTGCTTTTTTGAACCATTTTCATAGGTTTCATGTTATATTGTTGGCTCGGAAAATATGTAAGTTAAATGCGCATGCCCAGTAGCCGCAGCTGTATCCCTTATAGCCTTAACCACAAATCAGACAGGAGAGTAGATTAACTTCGGTGGACTTAAACTTGAAAAATGATGTGTTACACGGTTGAAATGAAATACTTTCTGATGTTTATTTATGCTCATGTCATGCTTTACGTAAATATGAAAAGATGATCGGTTCACGTGTTTGAACTGAGGCAATACAGTGATCTGTCACGACACATTAAAGAGCCACAAAACGGTATTTATTGTTTGAATTTCTTTAAAAATTAAAAAATTTGAAAGCTGAGAGTCTTGAGACCTTGTTTCATATCAGAAGTAACCTGTCTTGTCTGTCAGCACGTTGTCAGTTTTCTCTTTGCTCTGCGACGTATTTTTCACTGCTTGAGAACATGGTGTGTAGTGTGAGAGCGGCATTGTTTGCCGGGGATAGCAACAGTAACTAAGGAGGGTGGGCCTTTGAACAGAATTGACTCAAAAGAATGAATCATTCTTGAATGGGCATCGCTCATTGCCCAGAGAAAAGTAGACGGCGCATTTGGAATAAATTGAGGCATTTTTAACTTGTATTGCATTAAGATAAAGTAACGAGAGGAGCGTCGCCCACAGTAACGAAGTAAAAATATACCGTCAAATATACTCAAAGTATTAGTTACCCAAAAACTTTACTCAAGTAAATGTAATGAAGTAAATGTAACTCGTTACTACCCACCTCTGCACACTTGTATGTATCAAAATGCCCTTCTTTGCAAGTATCCTAATAAACATTAATTTAGGTCTTAAGTGAAAGCAAACAGCTGAGAAAGAAAACATGTGCAACAGTATATTGGATCCGGGCAGCTCTTAAAGTGACAGCAGTCTAATATTCCGGTTGTCTGTCATTCGTGTTAATCAAACAACAAAAGAGAAAATTTCTCACTGCTCTCGACTAAAATCACTTTTGTAATTTTAATAAGAAGACATTTATAATTTATTTACACAGTTAAGAGTATGCAGTGTTTTTATACATTTGTTTACTTTATACAGTGTATGTAGCATTTCTACATTTATTTGTTTTTCTGTAGTTTTTGTCCTATTATTGTAATGTTTCTTATTCTTATATAATCACTGACTGTTTACTTTTTTCAGTGAGTTTTTGTTTGTTTGTTTTTACATTTAGGCTAGTATTCGTTTTTTGTGATAATGACACTGGTGACAAGAATTCTGACATTTCTATGGTATCAAAAAATGTATATCATAAAGACCTTATTTAAAGCAAAAATAACTATATTGTGATATATATATCATTACCGTGAAATAGAATTACTCGTATCATGGTTTTGGCCATATCGCCCACCCCTATAGCACATTATCAAAAACCCTCCACCTCCACCAGCTCCACCCATATAAATCTGCTACGAATAATTTCATGGATGCTGTATGTTCACAGCAGCTTGTCATTGAATATACTTGCAGTGGTAAGTCTCTGTACTTGCTCGGCAGCAATGTTGCAGATCTATTCAGCCAAGACCAAATACGTTAACACTGGCATGTCCATTACAATGCAAAACTATTCCGAGAGTTGTCATGATTGATCGTTTTATGGCACAGGCTGTGCATAGATTCTTTAAAAATGTCCTTTAGTGTTCCATTGAAAATTTAATAATATACAGCTTTGTAAAAACACAACAACATGCATTCAAGTCCCCTTAGGCCTTTCTGACTGTGTTTATGTTCATTTTAGCTGGCTCTACGGGCTGCCCCATCCTATGAGGGCTTCATGGCTGCTCTGGTTTCTCATGAAGGCGATGAGCTGAAGGAAGGCTTTACGACCGGCATGCATCAAGACCTAGACTTCTACCTGCCAGCCATGGAGAAGCAGCTGTCCATCCTGGATGCTCTCTATGAGGAGTATGGCTTGGAATCAGATGAGATCGTGTGACTAACACAAATACACCTGCACAGCAAACAGAGCTTGGTTCTGACGGAGCTCATCGGTTTCAGTGGTGAAGTTATAACTCTTTAACCCGCTGTGGTAACCGAGCCCGAAGTTAGTGTTGAAAACAGGGAGGTTTCTGTGAGGGCAGGGCTTGCAAAGCCTGACCAGTAAGAGTGTGTTGGATAATGTGGCATATGCAGACTCCAGTAACAGTCATCCCTGTGAAATTTAAACGGCCGCGTCAAAATAATGCTAGCTGAGGGGGGCAGGGTGTGATTCCAAGTGTTTTCAGGGAACAGGTATATTTTTAGAAACCTTCAGTGGCGTGATCAAGTGTTTTGTTGACATTGGTTGTATGTTTTTCATACACTTTTAGGCATGAGAGTACAACGGCAGATAAGATGAAGATATTGTTTACCTGGAAGTGAAGGTGTTTTTTGCAGTATCCTTATTTACAGTAAAACTGCACATGTGCTTTTCTCCTCACTTGAAATATTGCATTACTTTTGTTCAGATACTCGCATCTGTTCGTTTTAGACTAGCACAAAACTAAGAAGTTATTCAGAGACTTTTGGGGATTCAGATAAACATGCAGTGTGTTCATAAAACCAAGTACTTAAGTTAAGTATACAAATACTGTGGTGGGCTATTTTTTGCAATGACATAATCTTAGTTTAAACACATTCACAATGGCTCAATTTATAACTTGTTGGATCAACTTGGTGAGAGGGACCAAAGCAGAGTTGTTTCTTCATGATTTTTTGGAAAGATTTCCTACTATTGAGAACATGTAGCTGTGGCTCTACAAAAGGAAAGATGTCATGATATTTCCTCGGTGACTTTATTTATTGACTTATTTATATGAATATTAATTCTAACTGTTGATTCTTATTGTAAGAATCACACTATGCTTATTCTCAAATCATATGAATGATACAAATTTGTGCATGTTGCATTGTATGGATTATGTTTTTGTATTTTGACATTAATCTAGATTTAGATTACTAAATGATTCGCACATAATATGAGGATGACTGTTCTCTTAGGTTTACTTTTTATTTTAATTTAATTCCACAAAGTTTTAAACTAAAATCCTTTATAACCTTTATTCCTTGGCTTTATAACTATGCCTGCATTGTAAATGTCAGAATTGTATGACTATATGACTTTCTTTTTCTGCTGAACACAAAAGATATTTTGAAGTATTTTGGTAAACAAAAAGTTAAGAATATAAAATCATGAGACATTCTCAAAATATCTTCTATGTTCCATATAAGGTATTAAGTCGTACAGTTTTTGAACAGCATGGTGTCAACAAACTTGAGTTGGTGTCTTTTGACTTGGTGTCAATAAACTATGAGTTTATTTGTTCTGTTGAACTCAAAAGAAGATATTTTGAAGAATGTTGGTAACAAAACAGTTGATGGTAGACATTGACTTCCATAGTATGGAAAAAAATACTATGGAAGTCAATGGCTACTGTCAGCTGTTTGGTTAACAATATAAATATCTTGTTGTGGATGAACTGTCCCTTTAAATTCAGTTGAAGTTTTGACATCCTAAGAAGAATAGCACACAGTATTAAATATGGTATGCCTTTTTATATGTATTTGCTAATTGTAATTTTTTAATTGTATGTCTTTTATACTGAATTGCCTGCAGTGGTTTTCTTTTTTTTATTAAAAAATATGGTAAATTTCTCGCAACATAGATCAATTTTGTATTTTCAAATTCATGAGGTGACCAATAAAAATCATTATCCATTCAAGTGACCTTTTTAGACACAAGCAATGTTACACCGTCGTTATGACGCTCAATCCTTCAATATCTGGATGTGGTTGCTGGGATACTCTCACCACAACAAAGATGATCTCTAGACTTAGTAATAAGGGCCAAGAATAGAAGAATTGTTTTTACGTGCACTTGTGCATGTGTGATAGAGGGAGAATGGTTTTTGATGTTTTTGTTGGTCAAAACACAGAGAAAATATCCAGAGTCAGTGGTTCACTTTGACTGTTTTGAGAGTGTATTCTACATGACCAATATGTAGTGACTAAATATACTACTACAATCGAATACAGTATTTATTAAATGGCCATCATGACAGTTCTGAGAGGAGTTATATTACGTTCCATACTCAATGGAAACACTTTATCTATGCAGCATTGCTCCATCCATTTCTAGGGGATGATGGGAAAACATTCGGGAGAACTTCTTGGGCAGGCAGCACGATGGAATTGGCAATTGGATGCCAAATTAACCCCTTGCAACACCCCCAGCACTCTATCAAAAACTTCTTGGCCCATGAACAGAGTTTTCCAGTGACCTGAATGCAAGCTTCTTGGAAGAAGAGGTCTAATATGTTTATTGGATTTCAGCCAGCCAGTCAGAATGTAAATTATTTTTGATTAAGCAGTATCACAAGCTTTTGTACAACATTTAATTTAACAAGTTCATACAAAACGCATTCCACTACACTGATTTTCAGTGTACTAGCCTGACATATTTAAAGGTGCAATAGTGATTGTCTTCAGTAGGGTTGTCAAAATGGCTGAAAAACTAAATTCGAATTTTGTACTTAAATATTATAAAAAAATTGAATTGTATTCGAACTTAAAATGCATAATTTCAGTTAGGGTGAAGAAAAGCTTTTGGATTCTCTCCTGAGGCCACAAGAGGGCGCATCGAGCAAAATATTACTAATGCACGTTTCTTCAAAGCACAAGATAACATGACTATCTGTGAAAAAAGTGCATAATGTTTAAAATAATGTTTATAAACCAATTATAATTAAGTTGCTTAAACAACTATAAACAAAACAGCATCATGCATGTATGTATGTATGCATAGTTTAATACAAAGGGCTGAAAGCCAATCACACAGAGTACATTTTTCATTTAAAAACACGATTTGCAGTGGGATGGGGAAAAACCCCCGCCATAAAGTCTCGAGATATGTTTTTCAAAGTTGAACTTGCATTAATTTTATATGGCTTTCTAAACATGCGGCTCTTTTGTGCGAGATGCGAGTGCAATGGTGATAGATGTCCCTCTAGAAAATGTGCGAAATATGCGTTCTGTGTGAATGGCTTGGTTTCAGTTTTGACGTAAAAAAAACACCTTCTACGCATTGATGTTCTCTTTCCCCGCAATATTTGTAATTAACAACGCAGCAGTGCCGCATCTAGTGGCTTCAACTGGATAGGCTAACAAAAACATTAAAATGCGATGACACTTACATCGTCATCATCGCATCTTGTGCGCTGCTGATAAGGCTGCCTCCTTAACGCACACCTAAAATTCGATTGCAATGTTTTTGCATTCGAATGTGGATTTTAATTTTAATTTCGACGAATATTCGAAATTCGAATTTTTTTGATTGCCCTAGTCTTCAGAAACATTTTTTTGTTGTGCTGGTTGAAAGTCTCTTCACATCCCGACAGCAATCATTAAGTTAAGTGGTCTAAATGTATTTATCCGTATTTATATATTCTGTGGAAGGCGTAGGACCAAGAAATGTTCATCCAATAAAAACGCTCTGTCTGAGCATTTTAATTGGCTTTCCAACCTGCCTGTCAACGTATGTATTTGCATACATATGTATTCATTAGTGCTGTCAATCGATAAAAAAAATTATAATAATTAATCGCACGTTTTTCTGAAATTAATCGCGATTAATCCCACCTAACATTAAAGTTTTTTAAAATATACTTTTATATTGCAATAATTTCACATTCAATCTTCAAATGAATGTACAAACAACATAAAGACAGTATATTTTTAAATATTTGTTTAATGGCATCTTTTTTATGACTGAAGGCCAGTATACTTCAGTAATGCGACTAAAATAGGAATACTCCACGTCTTAATTCTATTTCTGTTTACTTCGAATATGGCTTTAGCCGGATTAAGGTAATCAAAAATCTCTGTTTACATGGTAGATTCTTAATCAGAGTATTGTCTTAATCGTGTTAAAATTGGATTATTGTTGTCCATGTAAACATACTCAATGATACTAATACTGATTTCTCTATTAAATTGCCCCCCCACCCTAATATTTAACCATTGACTATAGCCATTCAACATTACAGTATAATTGAGACATTTATTAGACTTTATAAAATAACTTCTAATTTAAGTTAACTTAAAACAATCTTCACATAAACCCATTATAATAAATGTCATATTTACCTGTGCCCTTCAGCAGAAATATACGGAAATTGAAATTGAAGTTATCAACACTAAATTCTAAATGAAATATAGATGAATCCTTAAAGCTATAAAAGTTCTGTTATCCTCTTTTTTTTTCTTTGTCCTTTGATTAATAGACATCACAGCAGCTGGTTGTTTTGGCTGGTATTTCTTTAAGAGCTGCCGCTGCTGAATGTGACGCGGATCTGACACACATCATATTTTCTCTCAACTCTTTTTACCTTTTCTGACCCACTTCAGGACTTAAAGTCTCTATTAATGAGCTGACGAGTTGAATCGGGTGTGTCGGATGAGTGAGAGTGCTGGGCTGCTCCAGAACAGTTTTGAAAACCATTTCAGAGACATGTTCTTAAATGTGACTCATATAAAATATATTACATGCATGCAGTTTTAAGGCAGCTTTAATCGGCTTTTTGGTAACTTCATGACTTAAATAAAATATATTACATGCATGCAGTTTTAAGGCAGCTTTAATCGGCTTTTTGGTAACTTCATGACTTAACTGACCACGATATTGCATGCAAGTAGTTTATTTCGCGGTTTGATATGAAAGGATACAGGCTACAGCTAGTGCCGGCGCCTTTGTGCGTGCAATGGAAGAGCACGCGCTGCGAGCACAGTACCGTTTCCGCGCTCGTTTGACTCGCGCCTGGCGCTGAAGTGGAGCGCGCATCTGAAACGCCTCCCATTCAGTCGTTCTGCGACTGAATAAATGCACTTCTTGTCAAGAGAAAAAGTGACAGAAGCAGCAGTTGTGAGTGGGGTGGCCAACCCTAGCACCGCCCCTGCGTTAATTGCGTTAAATATTTTTAACGCGTTAAACTGAAAAAATTAATCGCCTGTGTTGACGCGCTAATTTTGACACCACTAGTATTTATATATTCTGTGGAAGGTGTAGGACCAACAAATGTTCGTCCAATCAAAACGCTCGTTCCAAGCGTTTTGATTGGCTTTCCTACCTGCCTGTCAACATATGTATTTGCATACCTCTTGCCACCCGGTTCGCAGACAGGATAAGTCATCAGTGCGTTCATGTATGCTATGCAGACAGAGCGAGAATGACAGGCAAACATCAACAACTTGATCTTCCTTCCTGGTAGAGGTCTGCGGGCTCACACCCGACCAGATTTTTTGCGCCACGGGATTAAATTCCCGAATAAAACGCGGTAGCGATCGGTAACTCTGGTGTAATTTGGAGCGGGCGGTCTAACAATATCCCATTCCCGACGCAATATTCCCGTTCCTGCGCTTTATTCTTATTAACCACCGGTACAGCCTACACTCAGACTGTTATGCTCGCGCTGCACGCATGCTTTAAAAGTCACGCGTTTTATTTGTGGGGTCTGTGCGCAGCATGTGCATAAAGATGCTCAGAGCAGGCTGTACCGGTGGTAAATATACGGCTCTCAGACAGAACAGGCAGGTTGTCGATGAGTGACAGAGCAGAATAAGGATGGTGCAAAGTGTGGATGCGCTGTCCTTGAAGGACGTTCAACTCGGTTTTGTTTATATTTTGCTTAGCCTATAATTTTAAATGACAGATGTCGTATTTATTTATTTTTCTCTGCGATACTTTTCCTACTGTGTTAACAGAAAAATGTCCAACGAATTTAGTATTTTGACAAGACGAATAACCTAGCTAATAGGCTATTTTTGTACAACCTACATTTAAATTTTTTTTTCTCTCAACGACACTTTTTCCTATTGTGTTGTAAATGTTAAACA